CCCCCCCCCCTCAGCCTCCTTCTCCTTCTTCGTTTTTCGCAAGGTAATTGCGAGCCATTGGTAATGAACCGCAAGGGACCATGGGAGGGGTGCAAACGGCAGGTGAAGGGACCTCGCGCCCGTTGTCTCCTTCCTGCCTTCCTTTGCGCGCACATTTTTATCGAGAGAGAGACGTCTGGGTACGAGGCAGTCCCTCCCTTTTACCACGGTGGTGGTATGAATTTGCGTGTACGTCCGAGGGTTAAGAAACTCACCAAACTTAATAACCTGCATTCAAATGATGAATACGTAAATTTCATATATTTCAACCACCGAATTAACAAATAGATGACGAAATGATCATTGTAGTAAAAGACGCAACTTATGCTGTTGCGAACTGGAAATATAAGCTTTCTTTTCGCAACTACTTAAGTCGCCTCTTACACTGCTATGTTCTCTTCGTTGAAGTCTGCATTGAAAGTAGCCACTTACATCGACTTGCATTTGTATGCGACCCGCCAATTTTACCAGACAAATGTATTACGAAATAAAGCTTGACGCATGTTGTTTTAACCAACATATTTTTTTCTCCTTTTTATAGATTAAGATGCACTGATAAAGCCAATATCGATGACCAATAAAGGAATTGATTAAGTTAATTTGCCCGTAAAAATAAATTCAGCAAACAGTAGACCTATTTCTTCTTGTGTATTTCTTTCCTTTTTATGTTTGTTTGTTGATCAGCTTTATTATAATGTTACTACTAGGTCACTGCTAACTCCTTCAGTCTTGGAATGCTCTTCTAATAAACAAAATTTAGCAATTAATTAATGAGGCTGAGTAGGATATGAAGAATTATGCAGATATCGCAGGGTGTTATCCACTGAGGCCTTTGATAACACCCTCCGAGATCTGCAGAATTCTTTTTAGTATATACTAAAACAGTGGATAGTGTTTTTCGCGCGCTCTGATTGGCTACTCAATCAGTGAATATCCTGCACTATTCACTGATTCACCTCCAGTTCCTCCGAGCGAGCGACACCAAACTTGCGTAGGTTGCGAGCAAAATGCTTTCCCGGTTTGCTGCCGTAACAAACTAAGAAATTTCACAACTAATCAATGCAAGCAAACTATTTCCGAAATACATGAAGAAGGTGACGAAGTTCGGTTTGGAAGTTTTAACAGGTAAAGCTTTGTCTTTTTGACTTGAATAGTTATCGATAAAACCGGCGAAAAAGGTTTTTGTTTACAAATGCAAATTAAGCTTAAGTTTATTTAGTGGACTTGTTCATAAATAAGCTTAAAACTAAATTTAATAATCTTTTTTACAGAATTATTTTAAATACAAACAGAATTCACAACTCCTTTTGAAGAAACTTCCCCGCAAGAGCTAAACAAACGCCTTCAAAAGTTTTATTTGTCCCTAAGAAAAAGCGACGACCGCGGCCGTTCGGTCATCGCGCGCCAAAATTGTAATCGTTGGCAACAGTAAATGAGTTAAAAATCATCATTTTGTGCTCAATTATCTCACTGTTTTAGTATATACTAAAACAATTATTCACCTCAGTGTCGGTGACTAGTAGTGGCTATTTAACTCACCGCTTCGCGGCCTCGGTAAATACCAATACTAGCCACCTCCACTTCGGTGAATAATTGTTATATATCCTATGAAAGCCGAATTTATTAATTGCTTTATTATTCATTCAAAATAATTCCTAGTTTAAAAACAAGCTAAAACATGCTTACCTTCGTCGATGTGAACTTCACCTCGATAGTGCATGTTTAGAAGATAAAGGACTGTTCAGGTCTGCAAATATACTCCAAATAGCAGATGCTGTCCGTCGACTTGTCTTCTCTTTACGTTTTTAGACAATAGTTTGTCGTGAAACGAGTAGAATGTTCCGCCAACTGTTCGGCCATCAGTTCTTTTCACAACCAAAACAACTCAACCTCTTCCCAGGTGTTCTCGGTTAACGGTGCATTAACCTGCAACTGTGCTGCACTTTTGACGTCATCGGTTGATTAATCGCAAAATTCTTCCAAATTTGGTCAATAGTAGCTGGTTATGGTGTGTTATGCGTGTGCTTTTAGCCAATCAGAAACGGAGAAATATTTTGAATGAATAATAATAATCTTTAATGATAAGGCTAACATCCCGCTAAGTGTCTTCAGTGCGTTGTTGCGTATATTACTGCGATTTCTCAAGTGTTAAGGGCTATCCAAAATTTTTTGAAGAAAGTCTGTGATAATGATAAACGATTCTTGTTTGTAAAACCTAGAAATGGGAAATGTTATTCTGCAAACAATAGATCCGAAAGCTAATTTTTCCACTTCGCCTAGGCAGCATCAAAGTTTACCTTGTTATTCATCTCAGCGAATATTTGTCAAGCAAGTAACGTTTTTCCAACGAACATAATTTTCGTGGTAGAAAAATCCTTCACCATTTCAAGCTCAGGTTATTTCAGGGTGATCTTTACGGGACTTGTACGGGATTCGAAACCACTGACCTCTGCAAACAGCAAAGCAAGTCACCGAGGAACTCACCGCCAACTCTCTGAACTCGGGGTGGTCAGAAAAATTCCCACTTGTGAATAAAAACCTGCGTGCAAGCGCTCAATTTATGGCGAGGGAAGAGATACTTTCTCCTGTTACTTTCACGTGACTTTCCGCGACTCCCCCAAAGAGAGAGCTTGCAAAGCGTACTGTGCCACAACCGCGGAATTAGGGACCCTACGATCCGACAACTGCGACGTCCATGAAAACGTCGCTGAAAAATAGACTTTCTTACGATTATTCCAATTCACTCTATTATTAAAAAAGAAATGAATTTTGATTGGAGCTGAAGAGAGGGTCCGCGCCCGAATTCAGACAAAGATGGTAGAATTTATTGCCTTGCCGTTCCCGTTCTCAAGTAAACTTAAAATTTGGTCATTTAACGTCGTAGTTGTGAAGGGACAGCAAAGAAATGTACAAAAAAGCGTGATACACGTGCACAGTTGTTTTGCTAATTAAACCTATGACTTTTTCTAGGTTCCCGTTGCCGTCGTAGTTTCGTAAGGTCCCTATTGTCAATGGGGGAAGGGGGGTCCGCAAACTACTGTCCCTACCGTCACATCGCAACTAGACTCTTGTTGGTATTACTTGGACCAGTTCCCAAAGAAGGAAAAGAAAGTCAAAAGAAAGAGGAAATTCGACAGGCGCTACTGCGGAAAGAACCTCTCACCCTCCACCATGGTTATGGCACCACAGGGCTGAAGGGGTGTTTTCGTGCAAAGGTTGAACCTCACCGTCTTAAGCAATAGAAACCCCAGGCTGAGGTTCCTGGCGCAACCTGATTCCTGTACCGGAAACACCCAAGGGAGCAAAGCGGGTGCACAGTGCAGTTCCAGATCGCTTACTCAGACTTAGAATCCACAGTCCTGTGCTGACCTCGATTCCTGTTAACCCTAGAAGTCCACAAGAAGTGGTCAGGAATTAGACTCAAAGAAGAATTTAGACTACAGACTATAGACTATAGACTGTGAACATTATTTGTTCATCATATTCGTTTGCTTGGGAAAATTGTGTATTTCTCACTTAGAGGGGGAATGTAAACTACTGCTTATAAGCCCCGGGATTATTCATCTTCCTAAGGGGTTTTATTAAGATTAGGGGGGTGTTTACATGAGAAAACTCGCATCCCCGCGAGTTTCATACCGGGGTGACTTTTTTATTTCTTATTGCGTTTCCATGATGACTGGGTCATTTCATGTCTCGTTATTTGAAGGTACCCTTCATGTTGATAAAATACACGTAAGATTCAAAATCGCAAACATTACGCATGATACTGTTGCGATATTTCGTACCGGAGTGAAATTCTCGCCCGGGCACAACAACCGGGGTGAACTCACGCCGCGGTGACTCGCGCCGGTACGACATTTTGTGGTGGTAACACGTAAACAATACCGTACGCATACAACTACTTTGGGTATAATGTAATTTGCAAAGCAAAATCATAGATAAGACTAAAAATTCTGTCATGTAGAATTATTTATTTCTTTTTTTGGATTTTCTCTTCGCCTTTCCTGGAGCCAGGCATCCACACTTGGATACCTTTTCCCCTCTATTGAAGGACAAAAGGTTTCTAGTCCATATCTGCCAACATGTCTTTGTTTTAGGCGAAGGTGGCACTGTCTGCAGACGTTAAAAGTAGTAGACCTCTGGTACTTCCGTTTGCTAGCAGTTTCAGTACTTGTAAGCGCTTCTGCTTCAGCTTCCCTTTTACGCTGGTTGTACAGTGTTGTATGTGGCACTGGTATAACAGTGGGACTGTTATATACACGGACTGCCCCTTCAGCTGGAGGTACAACTCTTTGTGTGCCTTTAGGTCTTTCAGTCGGTATATTTGGAATAGATTTAAAGTCATGTGGCGTTCGAGCTGGATAGGTTGGTGGCTTGGACAGAAATGACTGTGTAGGAGGGAGTGGCTCAGCAGACTCAACTGGTGCAGTGGGCGGGAGGGACTGGATCAGAACTCTGTTTTCTATGTTGTCTCTTGTTAAACCTGTAGACAAAATAATCAGTCATTTCATCCGGTTCATCTGGATCAAGACGACTGACATCTGGAGACCAAGTCTTCCCTGTCTGGCTGTAAAGATATTCTACCCCCATTTTCTCACCTAATTTTGTAATAACAAGAACAATTCAAATCGGTATGCGAGTTTTATGTGGTTATTAGGAACTGCAACCTTCCAAATGAAGGTGGGAATCAGCAGCCTATAGATTGCTCATACATGGGATACACTTAGTAGCTGACACAGCACTATTTATCTGTTACCTAACTCCATGCAAAACATGATTAAGATAAACAATTAACCCACATTACCTGTGTACTTGCCAGGATGGTCAAAGTTCTTTTGCTGCTCTTCACCATACACCATTTTAGTCAAGCGGTTGATTTCGTACTTTAGGGAGGAAGAGTAGCTGCTTGTTGGTGAATTTTCACCCCCATCTATCATGGCCGCCGAAGCCCTGTCTTCATTCCAGGGTACAATGCCCTCAAGTAGATAGCACTGGAAGTGGATATCATTGGCTATTGTACCTACAAGTAAAAAATTTTAGCATTTAAATGGAGTGCCAGAAGAAAGATGTTACCATTTTATAAGATGGTCTTAGACCATTAAATAACACAACTTTCTGTTTCAGTACAATCTTTTCAGAAACACAGATAGTAGTTGGAATGTACCTTACACATCTCTTCATATCTCTTAAGTCAACATTTTTTGTTAACAGAGGTGATCCTTAAGGAGGATGAGGACATTATTGTTTTATAAGTAAAGGATTTTGTGTGTTTTTTACCTGGAATGAAGCGATCAATGTGTAAATGGAATGACTCCAATGATGTTGATCCTCAGGCATATCTGTACATGGGGAGCTCAACACCACCCTTCTTTAATGTACCAGTCTGGGTGTATAATTGAATGGCAGGGTCATCTACGTCCTGTATGCTCGAAATGTGCTGTTTCTGCTCCTCCCAATTCTGCTGGATTGATGTTTTCTTCAGCAGAGGTATACCCATGGTATCCTTCGCTTTGTCAGAAGAAAACGTGTCGATTAGATCTTTGATGAGACGAGTTGTTTCCTCCACTCCCCGTGTGCGTCGTTTGCAGTGGCTGTGCAAGGCCAGTTCTTTCTTAGTAATATGCATAGTAATATCCACACCTCACTGGAAGAGAGTTGACCCCTTTTGGCTGCATATAATCTTTGAAGGTCTTTGGTATCCCACTCAAACACACATGCAGATAGTCGAGACATAAAGGTAGCATACAGGGCATGGGATTCTGAACAGCAACCAGCAGCAAACCGTCTCATAAAATGCCATACATCGAGACGTATGACCAGATTGCTCCACTCATGGAAATGGCTCTTTAACTTTGTAGAATAGGAATCTCGATTCACGTACAGAAGTTTTGGTGGAGGTACATTGGAGTTTCTGTATCTCTCTACCAAGCCAGTCACCATGTCGCCAAGACCATCACCTTCCGAATCTGTCAAGACAGATGAAAGTATGTGACCAAGCTCATTGCCCACATTTGTGGCCCAAGAAGCTGTCCCAGCAGTATTTCCTCCACGCTTTTTAGTGACCTGCAAAATTGTGCAAGAAGAACGATTCTTAAAACATTTTGATAAATATGACACTGCAATGCATACACAGAAAATGAAAGTGCCCAAAATATGCTAGTGTAGATACAGTACAGTGTACATGCATTTCTAAAAAATATTCTTTAATAGTCATTATTCCATTTAATATTATTTCTCTCTGCAAGGTTTTATTACTTAATCAACAAACTTTAATTACTGTGCTGACATGGTTTTAGCTTCCAAGTTACTAAGTACCCTCCCCCATCAAATTTCACTGTTTTGTAAGAAGAGTCCACCATAATAATAATTATTTACAATTGAAAAGTGAAAAATTCTTATGAAGCTATTACCGTCTTTGTTGAGTCCATTTTAAGGACTGAGCCAAAGGTAGAGGTTATCTTTGCCTTCACTTCATCTAGCCTGCTCAAGACATCCCTCACATAAACGGCAAGAAACCAAGGTCCTTTAGGCACCAGTGTGATTGGTGGCAATTCTTTGTTGGGAGCAGTAATAGTGAATAAGCCAATTGCAGCTTTGACATGAAATTGGCTCCCTAGCTTGTAAAAACCTCAAGAGCCTTTTCATGTAAAATTCATTATGCTGCTCTCCGACTTGATTACACACCTTAGTGGAAGAGTTCCCGAGGGTCCTCTGTCTTAACAGGCCAACAACTCGCAAATCACAAGAGTATCTGAATACAAAAAAATAGGAAAACAAATTTCTGGACAAGTCATTTGATTAAGCCATTATTAAATAATGCATAAATGAATTTGGCATTATTATTTTCCAGCAAATGGCAAGTGGGATTTTTTTTTCATGTCATCTCATCTTATTGCTGGTGATCTGAATTGTTATAATAAATTAACAACTTTGTGTTTTACTGGTACCTGTACGTGAGTAGTGCTGGAAAGCAGCTCTGATGGCCCAGGCATAGTTGACCAAGTACCACACTGGACCAGGCAGCAAATTTTTTTTTGCAAAACTTGTATTCTAGGTAATCTGTACCCATGAAGTACCATCGGTCGATGTCCAACACTCTCCGTACTGTTTTGTAGAACCCTGATTGTGTAAGGGACAGCTGAAAAAAATGATACTTAATTGGAGAAAAAAGTGTAATATCCATGATTAGGAAGAGTAAAGATGTATCACTGAACATTACAATGCTATCCCCAATGCATAAATGAAAGCTTTCTTCATGTCCGCACCAGGTAATATTTACATTTGTATTAGTAAAGGACAAGACAATAATATTATACTAAAAATATCATTTAAAACTGTATATAAATATCAGTAACAAATGTTAATATAAATAAAGATTACTTTGAAAGACCCAAGTCTTGTATGTAATTGTACCTTCACATTCTGTTTAGCTTGATTTGCTTTACACTCCTCGGTGCAGTGCAGATCAAGGCCCCAAATTCTCTGTGGTGCCCAGAGAAAAAATGGTTCTAAAAAGTAAGTGTCAGGTGAACCTGGTGGTTGGTTGCAGATATGGACAGGCGCTGGTGGGAACCACCACATTTTGAGATCTTTCTTTATCTCGGACTTGCCAGTCGAAGGGTTGAACTGGTACAGTGCTTTGCTCATCCAATGTTGTTGCTCAATTGGTAAGGTCTCTTGCCAAGCTTTGGGAAGAGCAGTTTTCTGTAAAAAGGGTAGATGTAAAAGAAAAATGGTAGTATCAAACAGTTGTGTAGGACTTAGTTCAACCAGATACAACCGTTAGAACCAATAACAATATAAATTCTAATAATAAATAATTTTATATATCTAACCTCTGGAGTATCCGATATAGGGGGTGCAGCTGTCACGGTCGAACTGGGACCAGTAGAGGGAGTAACTACAAATAGATAATAGAAGGATTGACAGTATTAAATCAAACAGACTAACTGTAAAAAATCTACCTTAAACAAATACCATACGTCATGGTTAAAACATGGGCTGAAATTGAGGAAAAAGGATGTAATTTGCTTATTACTGATAAGCAAATTGCACCCTTTTACAGGAAACCTTTAACTATGCCACAACATACAAATTTAATATATTTCTAAAATATGATACTGTCATCATTTTTATTTATTACCTGTACCCATTCTTTTATCAACCTCATCAGCAAATCGAGCGAGGGCATCATCGTCATTTTTTTTCCTGCTCCTGCTGCCTCCTTATAAGATACTGTTTAATCTTATCCAGTTGACCACCAGGATGCGTTACTGGGTGATGAAGGAGCTCTTGTACATAGCTTTTGTGGTTTTGGTCCACTGACTCAAAGAGTCCTTTCCTAGTCATACTACTATAAAAAAAATGGTCCAAAACCAACAACAGCATGTCCTTCAGCATCTCCAGACCCCATTCCACTGTGCTTGGCTTTGTTCTGGCTTATTCTTTTGCCAATGGCACTAATCATGTCCAGGAGAAGACTAACATACCTATAATTGAAACAAAAGAACACAGCGTGCACCCTGTTAAGAGATTTTCAGGTCAGATAGTTACTCGCCTCTCACCAATGAATAACTTGTTGAAGTTACAAAAGAAACTATGAACGACTTCCACTAGAGAGGTTAAAAGATGGTACTTAGTGTGGTATACAAGGGGTGTTTACATGTATGTTTAGGGTCCTTGTGTAGCTTTTTGAAATAGTACATTAACTCATATTGGAGACTTCTACTCCCACTCCTTACAATAAGTAAGATAAAAGCAGTTGTGAGATTCCATGTGCTGATTTATGTAGTTTGATCAAAACAACTTCAGTTTCCAGAATATTTACCAAAAACTATGTCAGATGACTTTATTAGCAGCGGTAACCTTTCCCTGATTTATCATACACATTTTACGTACCACTGAAACAAGATTATTTTAAGAGAAAGCAAGACTCAAGACATCAAATGTCTTTAGTCAAGACTGATTAATATTTTTTAGCTTTGATCAACCCCAAACTCACAATCTCTTTTTTTGAAAGCATTGATGACAACAAGAACAATCCTTTCCTCTAAAAAATGTTTATGGAGGCACGTACAAGTAAGCTTAACTTGAAAAATGAATACTAAAATCAACACAGACACAGTTGTCAAATTTCCATAATCATCCATCGGTCAAATTTGTTTGTCTTCTGTAAAGGGATAGGAAACAAATCAAATTGAGAATCCACTGAGGCTAAATCAAAATTAACCTAAAATTTGACAAGTACATAACATAATCCATCCCCAGGTATTCCTCATATATTCCTTGGAAAGCTGAAATCCTCAGTGGTGGCAAAAGATTAATACCCATCGTGGGGTTTAAAATACATGAAAAAAGCCCAACCCTTAAGGGCAATGCAAAAACAATTTATATTTCCTTGAAAATGGCTAAAATGGAAATCTATGCTGAGAAAAAAATATGAAAAAAGCAGTATTAAATTCACACAAGACGCCTAAAGTCGTTTCCGTGGGATGCGTTGGTCTATGGAAGCATAATGGCATTCTCTCTGAATTTGGAAAAATTAGGGAAACCGGAAAGATGTGTCATGTTATGAGCATCGATGAGTAGCTTACTTGTATGGGCTGGTTTAATGTGCTTATGACTGAATTTATAGTACCCTGCATGACAGGCTAATATTTCTCCCCAATCCACATCCCCTTTTTGCTTCCTCCCTAACCCCTACCCCTTTCGACATCTTCTACGCAAGCTAAATTTATAGTTGTCACTGGTCGCAAGGATGGAGTTGATCTTGTTTTGATCTATCGATATGTGGTTATTTTCATAGCACGATTTGGATAAGAGAAAGAAGTTATTTTGCATCAAAACAAGGTTTCCTCGTGTAACTTAAATTGGAATGTTAACGGAAGCAAGTAATGGAGAACATGCGGAAAATACTCTCTGATTAACCTGAACAGGAACTATATGTATAAAGATACGTCATATCTTGGTAGTAAGTAGCCATAGGGAACTTTTTCAAAGAGAAATGAACATTGTAGTTTTAGGTTAATGGAACAAAACAAAACAAAACATCCGCTTGCTTTATCCAGGGTCAAACCCAGGGTTACAAAGTTCCATAAAGTTCCAATGTTTTAATCCAAGATGAAAGTTTCATATTCCAAGATGCTCTTGATACAGTTAAAAATTAATTGCAATGTATTTCCAAGGTATCAAAGTTAACATAGTTCCAATGATTTTCCCTGATTCCAAGGTATAATAAGTTTACTATGGTCCTGATCCATGTCCCATCCAGAAGTCCAATCCATGCCGAAAGCGAGTCGTCGATGATTCGACGAGGACAATATTTTCGCGATTTCACCACCAATCGTCAAGGGTATGAGATGAAATTTAAGCGATTCAACCTCCCATCATTAAGGTGTTTTCAATAAGAAAAGAAAATAACTGAACTCTAGCTGTGCTCGGCAAAAATTGGCGAACTCCGAATAGAAAAATCTATCGGAAATCATGGCCGGCAACCAGATGCTACTAAAACCTTATGAAAAAGCTAGACCTAAAAAGAATCATGAAGGAAAGAAATAATTTAGCTCAGGTCGCCTTTCGTGACTTGCCACTATCCCAAAGGATTTCGCTGGTTAACAAGCCATCCTAACCCACGAGTGGGAAAACTCAAGCGCGACAAATTTGGCAGCCAAACAAAACGCATCGCATTGTTCACCAGGAAGCAAATCGATTAAAAATCGATACAGAGTTTGTACAATCTGATTGGTCGGCTTGGAAGAAGAGATAATCGATAAAGATTTTAGGCAATCCTATTGGCTGGCTTTGCAATTTTGGGTACAACCGAACCGGATTTTTACTGTGGGAGTGCCACAGGCATCCCATGGAAAAAGAAACACAGCAGCAACAGAATGCTTAACCAAAAATCAACTATAAAACAGCATTTTCCCAATTAGAGGATGGGTTAGAAGATAACTCTTTGACCACTTGAACATCACAAGAAAACAATTTTTTTTGTGTCACTTTAAAAGATAAATCTTCCGTTCACATCACTGCAAAAGTATGGCCTACATGTATAAAGAAATGTTCACAACTTCAAAATTCTAAAACTAATGTAATATAAATTGCCCTTACTGGACTTAAATACCACAGAAAGCAACAGTGCCACTGCAGAAGAGGTTTTGAAAAGAACAGCAGGTCATAAGGTCATGGGGCTAGTTTGAGAAGCTTTTACAACTGTTTGAGAAAAGGAAAACGGTCAGCATGCATTTATACTAGATCCGCGCCTGTATTGAGTGCACTGCTGACACAACTTTTTCATTTAAGGTGATCAATCAGCGTCTTTACTGACTAAAACGCGAAAGGTCAGCCTATTTTGAGTGCTCGAGCTGCGAGGTTGTGTCATTGCTGTAGAAGGGAGTCGTCCGCATAAACCAACAGGTTCGAAGCAAGTCACGTTCCTTGTCTCGAATACTTTCTGAATTTAGAAAAAGTTGTATTTTTCTGGTTTCATTGTAAATAACAGGTAAAAGCAGATAGTTTTGCACGTACCTACAGAGGAAATCCTCCAAAAAATGGTCCCATTTCGTTCAAAAGTGAAAATAGAGTCACATGCCCGCCATTTTGGAAAGCACTTCAGCAAATTACAAGGTCCAGCACAGGTAGACCACACTCTGTTAGTGGGGGCTGTTGTTGATTGAAATCTGAGCAACGATCTTTTGTTATTTATAGAACAAATACATCTGAACAATACGATGGCTATAATTTGTTCCAAAATGCAGAATTTAAAGCAAATTTTTCAATAACAGTTTGAAGAAAATGTTAACTGAGTCATGTGTCATGTTTTTTTCGCCATCCCGTGCTGTTTTAAGTGCTATTTTGCGAGATGAATATTTGACCTCAGAGGTTAGAACTAAAGAAGGAGACAAAGCAGGCAGCAATCAGCCGCCGGCAGGTGACCCAGTCTTATTTACGCTGGAACAAATGCCAACCTTTTAATTTCTTACCTCGAAAATACGAGCTCCCGATCCATTAGATATGTATCCATGCTCCATCTGAATGAGAGCTCAATCCTTCCAAAATTTCTCGAGAAAAGGGATCCTGAAGTTGCAAGGCCAGCTTTCTCAACATCACCGGTGCAAAAATCTCAACCAAAGGCATTTGAGGTATGCGCTTCGGTTCAAATCAGCGTATTGCGACCAAACAAACATCCCTGTGCGGGGCAGGGTTGTGGTTTTGAACTGCTAATGGTCGGGATACGCTGATTGGTGGATTTGAATCGAATGATAATAAAAATTGAGTAAAATTCAATAATAAAACCACAGACCTTGGCTGTGATTAGATGCATGTGCAGACCTCACACCACGTGGATGTTCTTCAATAACAGATGGAGGTTCACAACTTGCAGAAGCTAAAAAGATAAACATATAAATGATAATTAAGTGACCAAAGGAAGCTTGTCTGAGTTATAATGATTACTATTGATATAAAATTTACCTGTTTATAATATTTTACCTTCTTTGTGGAATCAATCTTCAGTACGCTGCCAAATGTTGACGTGATATAAGCCTTCACTTCCTCAACCCGTGACAGCACATCCCTGCAGTAAACTGTAACAAGCCAGCCTGCTTTTGGAAGGGTAGGAAGAGATTGGTGCCTCATCAAACTTTGGGGCCAGAACCAGTTATCGTTTGTTAGCCTCCACGAATGTCTAACAATCTGTCAAATAATGGGCAGTATGTTGTAGCCATTGTTCTTTGTGTTGTTCCGTCAGCTTCTTCTGCAACTGAGTCGAGCTATTTCTGAAACCATGTTGTTTTAGCAATCTCACTACTATCACGTCACAGGCATAGTTGTAGGTGATGATGATAGGAAACTGTTTCCTGTGACCCACATCTAACTGATCAAGGATACCCTGACTCCAGCTAATAACTTTCCTCTTGCAATTCCCACACTAAAGATGCTCGGTTACCAAGGAGTAGTAGCCATCCAGGTCAAGCACCTGTCTAACATGTGGGTACAGGCCTGCACTGGTAAGAGGGTGCTTGTCACAATTATCATATGGACAATGCAACCTCATTTGCCATAGTTTCCTTTGCATCCAAAGTAGGAGGCGCCGTGTAAAGTACATGTTTACAGTGGGACGCTAATGCACCCTTAACGATGGCTGGGGTGGATACCAGCAAAGATTGTTTACCGTTGACATGTCAAGCTCTGCTTTGTCTTTAATGCTAGACTGTTTAAAAATTGCCTTGGAAACCCAGATGTGATCTTCTTTGGGTAGACTCTTTTTCCATCCCTCAGGCGAGGGGTAATCTGTGTATGAAATTGATTTTCTTATAAGGTTATTATTATTATTGTTGTTGTTATTATAAAACTCTCTTTTTTATAGACACCCGAACAAGTAACAACTGTTTTTAACTCAGCCTCTCCAGCTGCGGGAGCCGAGAGATGAAGAGAGACAATGATATTGAGTGCACTGTTGACACTTTTTTTTTTCATTTGAGGTGATTAATCAACGTCTTTCCTGACTAAAGCGCAACAGGTCAGACTATTTTGAGCGCTCGAGCTGCGAGGTCGTGTCATTCCGGTAGGAAGGCACTGAGAATGGAGTTGTCACGTTCGAGCAAGTCACGTTCCTTGCCTTGAATACTTTCTGAATTTAGAAAAGTTGTATTTTTCTTGTCTCAATATAAATAACACGTTTTTTGGGTGCTTTACATGATTTTTTTCCCAACAACTTCAGCTCAACCGCTCTGACGATTCGACACAACTATAGTGTAACAGCAGCCTAGCTGTTCCGGTTTAATCAAAAAGCCCCAAAATCTATCATAAATGGCACTAATTTGTGGTCTATGATGACTTCATTTCTAACAGTTTTTCCACCCACAAGACGTGAAAAAAGCCAACAAAAAAATGACTTTTCTCATTTCTGACTTGCTACTCTAAGTAGCAGTGCTTCTGCGCATGACTGTTAAGTAATAAAGAAGGTCACTGATTGGTTATTGACAGTAAGATTAGCTTTCCACATGGGTGCGTTGTTAGGTTCTGCCAGTAATATAAAGGTCACGGAAAAAGACTATAGACGTGTTACTTCGGTAGCACATATACTAAAATTGGAACGATACAGAGAAGATTAGCATGGCCCCTGCGCTTAAAATCCCACACAATCTTCTCTGTTGGTAGTTGCTGGTAGTGGGGATTCCCTATGCATTCCTGGAATGTTTCAGCTACAAAAGAGCCTGGGCACGAAATTTCTACAAAGGCGGAGGGGATTCCTTATATTACGCCGTTCAACAAGCTTTGCTTCGAGTTTGTGAAGGTTAAAATGAACAGACACTTCCAAACCACAGTAACACTGAAAAAATAACTGTATTTTTGCTCCGCGAAGTCAGTAGATTGTTCTAGAGAAAAAAATTGAACAATATTATTCAAAAATACTTAAATTCTCTACAGAGAAGCTCACTTATCACTAGTAGGCTAATTTCACGCCGTTGACGTCGTTTGATTCTAGCTATCAGAATTCCTTTTGTTTTTTCTTTCTTACTTTAATGTAGTAAGGCTACTAAGGTCAAAGAATCAAAAGAAGCAATTAACACAATAACACAAGAAGCTGAATGATTGTGCTTGGCATTTAGAAAGTCTAGAATTCTGGTAGCCGTATTCAAACGATGTCATCTTGCAGCTGTCCTGTTCATAAGTAAAAGGACAACACACCCTAAAAATTGATGTGTAACTATACAACAAAATAATCACTCTTGCAAACGACGGCACTATCAAAACAATTGTGTTAAGTAACAATATTTTGATATTGTAAGGTGTAAATATAAAATCACATATTTTTACATTTGACTCAATGCTGATCAACAACGGTATAACCTTGGCAGGGTTTTAATTACAATCTATTGAATGGTGAGCCGTGTCTTTAGAAATCGGCTAATGGTAGTTTGAACATAACTATTGATTGCTTATTTTTTCTTTTTATATTGTTTTTCTGTTTGTGGGCGAGCTCTCCAAGCCTCGTAGGTTTCTGTTGCAGTTTGAGGGCAAAACCAGTTACCAAAGTACTGATGGTGTCCTGTGGCAGATGTTCTATCCTTCTGACATTTTGAACATTGAGAGGCCCCAGTTCTTGGCCTGTACTTTTTTAGTGCGGACACTTTTCTCTTCCTGTAACTTTGGGTGCTAGCAGGAATTGGTACTGCAGGTACTGCAATTGCAACAGGGGTTGCGGTTACAGGCCCGGAGGGGCTCAGGACCATCACATTTGCTGAAGGCAACTGAGGTAATTTGGGTAATACTGAAGGCTTGGTTACCTTTCTTAAAGATGCTTGGCCTGCTGTGTTGAACGTATGTTTCTCTTCGTTTACACATGTGTTAAGGGACTCTGGACGCTCTCTTGGTTGTGGCAATGTAGTATTAGTGGATGCCACTGGAGAAGGTAGATTAAAACCTTGTTTGAGGACGTCCTCCTCCTGTTTTCTTGAACGCTTGTTGTACCTGAAAGGCAATCCTGAATACTGACCTCAAGAACTCAATTAGAAACTCCCAGATTGAAATATGTAGTACTTAGTTTCAATTGTGTGCTGATGAATTCTGATTGAATCTTTTTTTTTTCATAAGATTATGTTTAGTTTAAATTGTTCATATTAAACAATTATTAGATGAGGTTGAGCATGATATCATGAATTATCAAAACTGAGGTCTATGAGGCAGATAATACAGACACGAAGTTTTGATAATTCATGATATCATGCAAAAACCGAATTCAATAATTGTTTTATTATACATTTTTTAAACAATAGGCAAAAGAAGACATTCAGCCATTCTGTTTCTGAGGAGAACACTCCAAGGGGCTTGGTAACCAGGCAGACATTGAACTTGACATGATAAATGCAATATCTGCAGCAGATATTGCATTTATCATGTCAAGTTCACAAGCTATTGTGAATTGATTGAATGCCTTCGACCAATCAGATTTTTCATAGTGAGTCTGATGTATAATAAAAGGGAATAAACGTCTTCAAGGTTTGTTATTGTAACTTACCACTGAATCAATGTCCTTTGACCTCCTTTGGTTTATTTCAGCAAGTTGAATGCCAGTCTGCTGCATTACGTAGGCATTATTAAGTACAGCTTCTCTGATTTTCTTGTATGCATTTCCAATCAGTGTCTACCGCATTGTCGTGCTGCCACCTCTTCGTACTGGTGAGGGGAAAATGTGGGTAAGCTTTATAATCACTGCTTCCATGTATCGGTTGCAGTCAGGCCATGAAGCTGGTCCACTGTTCTGCCTCAAGAAACATCTCTTTGTGCTACTTGCACCAGGAACTACTGTGGATTTCTTAGCAGCTTTGAACCTCCCCTGTGTGAGTTGTGGCTGGTGTCACGGATTAAAGGTAATGGGTTTTCTGTCATACTCACTCACGTTCTTCCAAAGTGCCACTAGCTGAGAAGCTTCTTGGTTTGATAGAGCTCCATTGCAATCCCTCAAGTTGACAAGAAAGTTGGCTAATGCAGTTACCCTGTCATAGCCAGGGATGTTCCTTGGGCCTACAGAATCGTCCTCTCCAGAATCTCCTGTTGGCTCTGTAACAGTTTCAGGAACAGGGTGGTCACCAGTGTAGGCCACAGTAGGATCTTCAGAGTCTGTGGTCACATCCTGTAGACCAACCGGATAAAACTTTAGTCAATTCAAAGCCCCTAATTGTGATTGGATAGATCAATCATTTAGCTTCTCAGGTTTTGAATTTGGTGATTCCACTGTAAGGAATTTAAGGCAATTCTTAATGAACAACTAGTCTGAGCAGGTAGATAAGTATCATGTATTAATTATTTTTTTTATTTTCTATTTTCACTTTTATCAGAGCTTATGTCTGATTTATGGATTAAATAAGGTGTGGTGTAAAATTCCTTAGTGTATTTAAGAGGTATGTAATATTTACTAACCTGAAACCCTTCATCTTCATCATCTCCATCTGGAACCTGCAGACATGTTTCATTGTCCTCGTCAGATCTGGCTTTCTGTAGCACTTTACCAGTCTGAGCATACAAGTACTCCACACCTATGAGCTCTCCTGTGGGGAAAAACCTTATATAATACGTAGATATAAACTTTTATATTAACTTAAATAATTTGAATATGTGATAATTTTTAATATAAATAAGACACTTTGACCTTTAACACTCCCTTCCTCTTGTAAATTCCAATAACCTGTCCTGGGATGTGAATATTATTGGGAATCTCACAGTAAAAAAATAAATGGAATATTTTGCAATTACCTGTATACTTATTTGGTCCTCTGAAGTTTTCAAACAGCTTTTTCCCTAGCACATTTTCACTTAGTTTATTCACAGCAGAAGTCAGTGCAGAGTCATATGTGAGGGCTGAATTAGCTTCCGTAACTGCTGTCACTTCTCTGTCTCAGTTCCATCTTGCCACACCTTCCAGCAAGAAGGCATGAAAGTGCAGATCATTGCACTAGTACCTTAATTGAAGAAAATAGAAGTATAATATAGGTATTAACGATGACATTAACAAATTTTAATATTGTTAATAAAAACAACAAATAATTTATTATGACTGATTTATTAATATACTGATTATTATATTTTAGGTATATTTTTTATTATTAGTATTAAACGCATGTTTAAAAGTAATAAACTCTAATGTCATAGAAAAAATAAACAAATAACAAACCAGGAATAAAGAAATCAAGATGGTTGTGAAAGGACTCCAGTGATGTTGAGCCTCTGGAGCAGCGATAGACCGGAAGATCTATACCACCCTTTACTATGGTGCCAGTTTTAGTGTACAGCTGCACACCCTCTGGATCTTGAATGCAGGCAATGTGCTTCTGCTGTGACTCCCATATGGTCCATATGCGGTCACAGTCAAGCAGTGGCACACCTAGGGTGTCATTCCCTTGTGGCCCAGAGAATGCCTCAAGCAAGTTGGAAATGAGGATGGTGGTCACTTGTATCCCACATGTTTTACGGCTGACGTGGAGGGACAGCTCCTTTTTTGTGATATGTTGCATGATGTCCTCATCCGATGGGTTTTGGACACTGGACTTGGCAAGTTGGGCAGCCTTGGCTCTTTTCAGAAGGTTGAGATCCTCACCACTCCACTCAAAAATGCACTGAGACAGTCGAGCCATAAAGGTACCATAGAATGAGTGTGAATCTGTAGTGCACCCTGCGGCAAAATGGCGCATAAAGTGCCTTGCATCAAGGCGCACATTGAGTTCCTGCCAGGTTGTGAAGAGAGAACTGACCTTTTTCTCACCACAGCAGTCACGATCTGTGTATAGAAGTACTGGTGGGGGAACGCCAGCCACCTCATAGCGACGGATGATCCCAGTTGCCATAGGGCGGAGCCCCCTTCCCTCACTTGCTGTTAAGACGCTGTTAAGAACTTGGCCAAATTCATTTCCAATGTTGGTGACCCAAGCAGCTGTTCCAGCAGCAGCACTAGCAAGCTTTTTAGTAACCTAGTAAAAAGTTGAAAAAGATAACTGATACAGTAATTATTATAACAATTGCTTGAGTAACAAGAGGAATATTTTTTGAGCTGGGCAGACGGGAGGGGGTACTATCCGGGATACTTGATATGTAATATTCATGATATGTCAGTGTTTCCAAACAAAAGATTACTATTGATATAAAGGCTTGGTAAATTATCTGCTTATAATATTTTACCTTCTTTGTGGAATAAATCTTCCGTACACTTCCAAATGTTGACGTGATATAAGCCTTCACTTCCTCAAGCCGTGACAGCACATCCCTGCGGTAAACTGTAAGAAGCCAGCCTGCTTTTGGAAGGGTAGGAAGAGATGGTGGCTCATCAAGCTCTGGGGCCAGGACCAGTTGTCGTTTACTAGCCTCTACAAATGTTTGACAATCTGTCAAATAATGGGCAGTACGTTGTAGCCACTGTTCTTTATGCTGTTCTGTCAGTTTCTTCTGCAACTGAGTCGAGCTATTGAAAACCATGTTGTCTTAGCAATCTCACTACCCTCATGTCACAGGCATAGTTGTAGGTGATGATGATAGGAAACTGCTTCCTGTGACCCACATCTAACTGATCAAGGATACCCTGACTCCAGCTAATAACTTTCCTCTTGCACTTCCCACACTCAAGATACTTGGTTGCCAAGGAGTAGAAGCCATCCAGGTCAAGCACCTGTCTAACATGAGGGTACAGGCCTGCACTGGTAAGAGGGTGCTTGACACAATCATCATGTGGACAATGCAACAACACTTGCCATAGTTTTCTTGGCATCCATAGTAGGGACGCTGATGCACCCTTAACAACGGCTGGGGTGGATACCACCAAAGCTTGTTTACCTTTGACATGTCAAGCTCTACTTTGTCTTTCATGCTAGACTGTTTAAAAAGTGCCTTGGAAACCCAAATGTGATCTTCTTTGGGTAGACTCTTTTTCCATCCCTCAGGCAACGGGTAATCTGTGCATGAAATTGATTTTCTTATAATTATTATTATTATTGTTATCATCATTTAATTTTATTATCATTGTTTTTATTATTATTATTATTACTGTTATCATTAGTTATTATTTATTATCATTATCATTATTACTAGGTATTATTATCATATTTGACCATATTTATATACATCAGTACTTCATAAATAACTTTTCATTACATGATTAATATAAATTATTAGGGAGAAAGAGAGGGAGAACTTTCAGAATTATGTTCTAAATAACTCTTTTAAAGAGAGCAGTTTTAGAATATTTACCTTTAGTTGCACCAACTTGTTTCTCTCCTGTTTGAGGTTTTGGAGCAGTTTTTGGAAGAACAGATGAGCTATCTATGGCATTAGCTGCAGACAACAACAGTTCATCGGAAACACTGTTTGTGTCCTCTGGGATTCTCAGTTGCGTGTCGGTGGGAACTGTTGGTTTTACAGATTTGCCTAAAAAAATGAAAAAAAATTGACTTTATTACTTTCAAGGGACTTAATGGACAGCAATTAAGTGACAAGATCAACTATATTTGATTTACAGTTACGTTTCTCAATGGTTAAATGTTTCGCTGCCGTTTTTTTGGTTCAAAGAGTGCTTTTCTGAATAACCAAAGCACAGCTCTGCTCTACCAGCTCAAGTCAAACGGGCAACTCTGCAGCACAGCATAAAAGCAGATATCAGAAGACACTCATGACAGTTTAGATTATGGAAATTAAACTTAACTTTAATATACAGGTGAACCGCAATGAACCGGTCTGTTAATTACAGACAATACATGTATATTACAAGGGATCGATGTACACGACAGAAAGCCACATAAACAACAACCAAGCAAACTAATGGAGTGGGATTCGGCGAGCTTTAGACCTGTATTAAAAGGATGATTTCTTCTCTCCGACTTGAAATGGTCAGCGACATATTAATTTTTGGTATTCTTTTTGGGAATTATGTATAATTTTCTTTTCTTTCTTCCTTATGCAAATGCTCGCGTGTGGCTGATTAGAACAATTCAGTTAAGCGTAATGTTCAGTGCGCTACTGTAACTTGCTATCTTTGATGTTTCTCCTAATTTGGGGAAATCTATTGAAGAAAATAACTGAGGAGACTTTCTTTATACTATTCTTTGACGTAAAAATCATGTTAGGAGTGTACTGTAAATTAAATAAACTCCCACATAAAACTACGTGGTGGATATGACTAATCCTGACTTGAAAAATATGCAGTGAATAAAGGTTAAAAAATATCCTACTTTGATAAAATACATGTATTCTGGAAAATATGTTATCTGTTGTGGAAAAAGTTTACGTAAGGGGAGATGGGGATTTCATTCCCCTAATAACTCGCCACAGTAAAGACTTAAACAATGTACAACCTACGCAAGTCGTGTACCGCGATGAAATGTAAACAAGCGAATGAATTCGCTTTGAGCAGTCCATTCCTGCACTCACAGATCAAAAAAATAATACCTATAAATATCATCATCAATGACACCTGGGAAATAATATATATATTTTTCATTTCTCAGCAAGCGCATGTTACTTTCAATTAACTTCTTTTCCAATCGCCTCACGCGATGAGATTTGGAAACATTTGGAACTTTTGGAAATTTCCATTGATGTGATTGGTCAACATTTGGATGAGCTTGACGCTCATTGGTTAACTTTTGGAAATGACTGCCTCGAGCAATGGGAAATACGTAGCGCAAAAATAGCGCGCTGGAGCCGTTTTTATCTTAGCCTCTTCAGCTGCGGGAGCCGAGAGATGAAGAGAGACAATGATATTGAGTGCACTGTTGACATATATATTTTTTTTCATTTGAGGTGATCAATCAACCTCTTTACTGACTGAAGCGCGAGAGGCCAGACTATTTTGAGCAGGATTTTGAGCGCTCGAGCTGCGAGGTCGTGTCATTGCGGTAGGAAGGCACTGAGAAGGGAGTTGTCAGGTTCGACCAAGTCACGTTCCTTGCCTCGAATACTTTCTGAATTTAGAAAAAGTTGTATTTTTCTGGTCTCAATAAAAATAACAGGTAAAAGCAGATAGTTTTGCACGTACCTACATAGGAAATTCCCCGAAACATGGTCCTATTTCCTTCGTCACATGGCCGCCACTTTGGAAAGCATTTCAGCAAATACTTCAGCAAGGTCGCTCAGCATTAGATACCAGTCTACTCACAGATTTTAACGAAAAAAGGCGGGAAAAGGCGCACTGGTTGGAGATCCGTTTGGGGAATGTTTGGGGGATGCTTAACACGATTTTTTTTTCCAACAACTTCGGCTCAACCGTTCTGACGATTCGACAAAACTATAGCGTGACAGCAGCCTAGCTGTGCCTGTTTAATCAAAAATCCCCTAAAATTTATCATAAATGGCACTAATTTGTGGACTATAATGACTTCATTTATAACAGTTTTCCACCAACAAAACGTAGAAAAAAGCCAACAAAAAACGACTTTTCCCATTTCTGGCTTGCTTATCAGAGTAGCAATGCTTCCGCGCATGACCGTTAAGTAATAAAGAAGGTCATTGATTGGTTATTGACATTAAGATTAGCTTACCACATGGGTGCGTTATTAGGTTCTTCCAGTAATATAAAGGTCACGGAAACACGACTATAGACGTGTTACTTCGGTAGCACATATACTAAAATTGGAACGATACAGAGAAGATTAGCATGGCCCCTGCGCAAGGATGACACGCAAATTCGTGAAGCGTTCCAAATTTTTTTTTTCGTTGTTGATAACAACTTTTAAACATTTGTTTTTGTTCATGGTCGGCGATGATTTTCAGCCTTTTCTGGACAGATAATTTATGGGAGAGATGGCCTAACCGATTACTTTTATAGTTCAAGAAATGAACTCTACATAGTTTACATGTACAACGGATGAACAAGCTCATAAGTACAAGAATTCTACTTTTTAATTCAAACCGATGAGATGCAGGCATAAGAGTCTTATGTGCTTGTGTCGTTTCAGTTTGTGCAAATACGGCGCTTATAAATTTCACTTCTTATAAACCCCCACAGTTATAAGCTCACCTACCTGTTAACATAAAAGCCATAAAAATACATCCGATTATGAGCCTATACGGACGTTAACCTATCTCCAAATGAATTAAAATGCATTCGATTTATTATGGAAAACTCGTCAATTCCAAACGTATCACAGTTATATCTTGTTTCAAAGGGCTTGTTTTATTTCGGTTATAAACCCTCTCGGATATAAGCCCTCTCTCCATTTATAAGCCTAATAAAACCTTTCATGAACTGATATATAACCCCAGGGCTTATATGAGCGGCAATTTACGGCATTAATTCTGATGGAGTGTGTATAAAATGCGAGCCATGCAGTCCATTGAAGAATCACTGAAAAAAAAACACCATAAAAGTCAAAAACAGTAATACGAAAAACATTAACTGAACGCTAACCGTTGTAAATAAGTGTTTAACCCTAAACAGCGCTTAACCCTAACGCTAAATTGAGTGCTTAACCCTAATCCGTAAAATGAAAGCTTAACCTTAATCAGTACAACGAGTGCTTAAACCTAATCAGCATAATGAGTGCTCAACTCCTCATCTGTAAATTTGCAGTTTTTACTAGCGTTTCCTTTTTTTTTTTTTACCGATGCCTCGCGTGATTCACATGGCTCGCTGGCTCGCAGTTTGTCAAGATCCATTCTGATGTCCGAGCATGGAAACGGAGAACCATTTAAGTTTTTTACCGTTTACTTTAAATAATGACAGGGACAATGATCTTTCAAATTTCATTCACCAGTAAAAATACTAGGCCAACTTAAGACTTCGAAAAAACTTTTAAAACTTGAGCCAGTAATCCAATGAAAAGAAAAACTCAACTGCGATCAATCGAAAGCTTCGTATAGCTGAGTCTGAAATGAGGTAATACAGGTCAGCGGATGATACAATCCGGTAGTTGTCAAATTGGCAACTACAGAAGATATCATAACATACCATGATGCTCTTTGTTTGTCACCCAAAAATTCTGCATAAACATTGTCTTTAGTCTCTCTTGGGAATTGTAATGGCGCCAGGAAATAAATGCTTTTCAACGTAACACCGTGTAGTTAAAAAGCTGTTTCATTACGGTTCGTAGCATTTTTGTCACATTTGTGTCAACCTATTCTTCTTAATTACTCAGTCTTTTAATAGAGGTTACGTACCTACATTTTATTATACACTATGAATATTTGTATAAATATCGACGTATAGACTCTTTTGGCTATCTCGCCTTTTGGACAGCCGTTATCGGTGACCAAACTTATTATTAGTTCCTAAGTTAGTCTAAAGCTCTAATCCTCGGAGCTCGATACACTGCATTCGATCGAGGAGTACGTTCCCGGTTTTTTTTGTCCCACTGGGTTTTTTATTCCGGGTTTTCGTACCGGGTAGTGTATCATTCCTTTGATTCTACTTTTTGACACGTTCCATATTATTTAAATGTTCGTTTATGT